TCTTCTTTCTCTATTCTTTTAATATAGTTTTAACGTAGTATTTTAATATAATATATATCTTTATATAATAAACCAGCCTTCTGAAACATGGAGTCCAGACTCGCATCTCCACACATGGGGCATCAGACACGACACTAGTCCCAGCACTGTCTGTCCAGCAGCCAGAGTGTCTTGGGCTATGCAGGTCACTGAATGTGGAACAGCTGCTGTGCTCCTCAGGGAAATCTCTGAGTTGCTCTGTTAGCCGCAGGAAGATCCGCCTTGGATGGAAATGCTGTTATCAGGAGCATTTGCAGTACAGCATAAAGAGAAGATGCACCTGGATGGAAGACTCGCCCTAACTTTGCTTTGTAAATGGACTGAGGAAAGGACATGAGATGGAAGATGGGTTAATATAATTTTTCTGGTTTGTTCATTCTCTTTAATGGAAACAGACAAAAATTAAATATGAATCTCATTTTCAGTGGAAATTTCTTTTTAGGCATGTGGCAGGTTTGATACTGGTCAATCACCTGTGCACTCACTTCCTGGTGTGAGGTAGAATTTGGACAAAGGCAAAGCAGGCTCAAAACTTTAAAAGGGTATAAAGAAAATTTTGTTAACAGTAACTAAAAGGGGTAATAAGAATGAGAACAAAACCTTCAGAACACTTCTCCTCCGCCCACAATGTTTTCTTTCCCACTGAAAATGTAAAGAAACAAAACCTAAATTTCAGTCAGTTTACCACCTCTAGAACAGTATTTCTTCAGTTCACTTAGGGAGAGAAGTCCCTCTTGTAAATGTTATGGAGACTTCTCCACAAGAAAAAAAACAGTTCTCTTGTGGCTTTCAATTTTGTCGCAAATAGCAGCTATCCAAGGAAATCTGCAATCGTGAAGTCCCTCCTATTTTCCGTGAGCTTTTCCCACAGCTGTGTTTGTGGGCCAGGTCAACTTATAGGGTACTGTTTTAAAGATGAGCTGTTCAAAGACAAAAGTTCTCATTATCTGACTCTTAAATCATGTTCATCTCTGGGAACAGAGGTCTTCTCTTCCAGGGGGCACAGGATCACTCCCCTCTGTTCAAACTTCTCATAGAATCACAGCTACTTTTACATCTGCTTACTTTAGCAGGGAGGCCTTTGCTCAATATCTACAATTTGAACATACTCATCTCCCCATACCTTCATGCGTTATAGGGAAGAAGAGTCTTTCTCCGTAGCTTTTCCAGAGGATTTCAGCCCCAAGATTGAGGCATCTCCTCATCCCTCGAGTCTGGGACTTGACTACTTCTTCACTGACCTTGATGTCTTCATGTTGCTTCTTTACATGCTTGCCTCTTGTTCCTTTCTCTCACTCGAGGGAGGATTGAAGCACTGAAAGAGTTAATATCTCACCTGGGGCCTGCAGATGGTCAGCCTGACCCCGGTGGGGATCAGACAGGCCAGAACTCAACAGCTGTGTGCCAGGGGAGGAAGGGGTGGAGGGGGTAGAATTTTGCTCAAAATTCTACCACCACCACTACCTGGTGGTTGTGGTGGTAGCATTTTGGCCGTGCCAGCTCGGCCCTGGGCTGATCCTGGGGCCTGGTGGAATCAGCTCAGCCCTGAAATTGCAGTCATGGCCTGGCCCACGGCACCCCCTCCCCTGCCTGGCAGCCGGTGCGGGGTGCTAGAGGTCCGGCCCCATGGCCCACAGGCCAGCCTGGCCAAGACAGGGGGACGGGGCGTGTTACCTCTTTGCTGGCCAGAAGAGAAAGAGGAAGTTCCTGAGTTTCTTCCATCTTTAACATGTGTTTTTCACAGTGTCCAGCTTTCCAACACCTAGAAGTTTGCATCACTTCCCTAAATAATCTCCCATGCAAAACCAAGACAATGTTGTGTCTGGTGCCCCATGTGTGGAGACGCGAATCTCGACTCCATGTTTCAGAAGGCTGGTTTATTATATTATGATATATATTATATTAAAATGATACATTAAAACTATACTAAAACAATAAAGAGAAAAGGATTCATCAGAAGGCTAGAAAGAAAAAGAATGGAATGCAATAACAAAGACTTGTGACTCTCAGAGTCCGAGCCAGCTGCATCTGTGATTGGCTGTTAATTAGAAACAACCAACATGCACCAATCACAGCTGCACCTGTTGCATTCCACAGCAGCAGATAATTATTGTTTACATTTCTTTCCTGAGGTCCTCAGCTTCCCAGAAGGGAAAAATCCTAGCAAAGGATTTTTCATAAAATATCATGGTGACATGACAAGGCATCATAGGCAACAAAAGAGACAAAGACCAAAAAGAAAGATACTTTTTCCTTTTTTTTTTTTTGAAAATTGGTAAGAACCTAGAAGTAATCAATTTTGACAGCCACTGCTATTGTGTCAGTCAATTACGTGTTGCCTTCAAAACAGATTCCCAAGTTTTTCTGAATTGATTCTCATACTCACTGGGCTCCTATCTGCTTACTTTTCTCTCCTCAAAAGGTCACTCATCCATCAAGTTTCCTTACCTACATTCATTTTGACATAGCAGCTTGCCTTTTCCATCCTCCCTTCTTCCACCTCCTTACCCCACTGAGTGCAAAGACCCACCTGGTATCTCAAATGGAGCAAAAGCACATGAGGTATTACTGCTCTGAATAGCTCTGTCCTTCAGAGTGAGATTGTTAAGGGCACAAAGGGACTGAATTCAAGCCTTGGGATGACACAGGAGACGATAAAACTGCAGAATCGGGTCATGCTCTGCTTCCCAACCAGATCAGCAAGACCGGAATAAGATCTGAGCCTTTTTGTTCTAGCACTGTCATCGTGTTAGTCCTTGCTAAGTGTGATTCCTCAGGAGTTTTTATGCCAGCTGCTGCCTGACTGATTTACCCCCATCAAGTACCTGTTCCTTTGGCTTCCCTTTTCTACTATAGAGTTCTATGTTTACCTTTACTACACTTTGTGTTCCCTAATCTTCTCGAGGTGTTATGTTTCAAATTGTTTTGACTTTTTTCTTGTTACTTTCAGCCCTCTCTTCTGATCCGCAGGCTTACAAATCCGTCATTTATGATACCCTGAATGGCATAAGTCTGCCCAGCAGTGTTAACAACAATATTGAATATGATCCAGACTCTCCGCAAAAGGAGATTGTTTTAATTGCCCTCCCAATTTTGCTGTCAACCAGTATATGCAATGTGACCATAAGCATACTATTGCAACCAAGTTCATCATATCCATGTAAACAAGTGGATATTCCTGGAAGTATTGCTGCTGCTGGCAGTGCTTCTAAATGCCTTTTATTGCTGCTGTATGAATTTCTAAGAACCTAAGTCTACTTCCAGTACTTTCATTTCCATAAGCAATGTTTGTACATTGCCATCTCCACACCAATTTCTGTCTCTTTAGTCACATAATTTCAGGCCCTCCCCAATTCTTTCATCTCTTGTATATTCTCTCAGTAGCTTATTCAAGAAGTAAGTTATCTTAAGGATGATCACAAGCCCCTTTAACATAGTTTTTATTTACTATTTCATTTTCTTCAAAATGTTCCATGGTCAGTTGCTTTGTCATTTTTGCTACTACATTCCTATGTATAAAGTTAAGGTGACTGTTCTATTGTGATTCATCCTTCAAAGTTTTTCAACACTGATGATATGTATGTTCTCCTCCAGGAGTCTGGTACCTTTCTGGTTGCTTATAGATAACTTACAGTTGTTCAAAAATGCCTTGCCACAGGACTTTCTGCTGCTCTGCTTTTGAATCCATTCATTTCTAAATGGTCTAAGTATTAATTCTAGCATTCCTATTTTTTTACAAAACTCTGCATGTCCACTGATGTGAAGGCAGAATCAACAGAGGCTTTAGAAGGATAAAGCAAAAAAGTCTGAATATGCCATTCTTTCCGACTCAATTTTTTATTTTTGCATCTTATCTTCTCAGGTGATGGATCTATAAATTGGGTGGGGCTTTTCCTGGTTTTAATTCAACTATATATACAGAACCTTATTTTTCCTTCTTTTTTTTTTCCATAACAGGTCCTTGGAAAAATCTGAAATATTGTGTCTAGAGAGGCAAATGCCAATGGCAGTACAAGAAAGCTGGGTAGAGCAATGCCTCACACCATCACTCTTGACAACCCCTCTATCTCAATAAAGTAATTTTCAAGAAAGACACAGACAAACCAGAGGGGTTCCAAGGGAGGACCACAAAGCTGAGAAGGCTCAGGGACAACCTCAGCACAGTTTCCAGTGCTTAAAGGGCAGCTACAAAGAGGATAAAGGCTCCCTATTCACCAGACACCACATGGAGAAGAAAAGAGCCAGTGGGTTCAAGTTGCAACCTCAAGGGGAGGTTTGATCTTGATACATGAAGCCCTTTACAGCAAGAACAACCTGTTGCTGGAACAAAGCCTCCAGGAATGTGGTAGAATCCTCATGACTGGAGGTTTTCAATACATGATATCTAGACAGAATCTCATCCAGGCTCCCTTTCCCATGAAAAGTTGTACCAGATGACTTTTCAAGGTCTCTTCCAACCTGGGCTACTCTGTGGTTCTGTAGAAAGCAGTGCCTCTGAGAGAATCTTGCCTATTGACATCAGTCCAAAATCTGAAATCTGTCTTGGTATTTTGCATTCAGAGAGATGAAAAGCCTTAAGAACACTGATCCATATTCCCCTTTCTTTCTTCTCCCTCTAGTTTTGATTTAGTTTGTGCTGAATTCATGAAAGATCTCCTTTGACATTAGGCTTCTGTCATATCCCTATTTTTGCTAGTGATATTTTCTGTGAAGATGTTGCCTGATTTCAAACAATTTAAAGAAAAAAATTATCTGCATACTCAATGATTAGAAATCGTCTGCAGAGATAGAATTTTTCTAGAAAGAAAAGAGGCATTTCCTTCCAGGTGACAGCTGGAACAGGGCTGTTGAGTTTTTGTAAATATGATTAGTTGGCATCTTCTTCAGCAAATCAGTATAGCAAAGATCTCACCATTAAACAAAAGGCTCATCACTCATCACTGTCATTGTAAAGGCTGCTGCAATGACTCTTACAGTAATTCTAAGGTGCTTGGATCATTTGATCTAGTTTTCCAGTGTATAGCATTCAGATGATCTGAGTCTGCCTTGCACAGTTCTTGCTCTCATAACATGTAACCACATTTCATTTCTCTTCAGACTTTGCAGTATAAGTCATACTTCAGCTTTTTCCCGAGTGTCGTTCCTGCTATATGTTCTTCAAATGCTTTGTCCATTTTCTCATTCTGATCTTCACTGAAAAGATTCTTCCAGTCACTTACACCACCTTCAAAAAAGCAGGAACAAACTCTTAAAAACCAAGAAATTTCATTTTTTATTCTATAGAGCTGCTGTCTTTATTGCATTGTACACTAAGTCTTGTTGATCCATTCTCCAGATTCTATTCTACACCAACAGGACTAGGGTGGGCCATAGTGGTTCTCTTCTCCATAATTATTGTGGAGGAGATACAAGCTGCTTTCCTGTAGATTACAAAATATTATATATGATTTACAGTTGTGTAAAATGTACACTGCTGAAAACACAGAAGCTCCTCCCCAAAGATTGATTACTGCTGATTTTGGTTTACAATTATTTGGGCTTATATTACAGAATTCACAGAATGACTAGGTTTGGAGACACCGTAGAGATCAATGAGTACAACCCATGCTCTTGCGCCTCAACTAAACCATGGTATTGAGTGCCATATCCAGTCTTACAGATAAATAAAAAACAAGATTCATTTTCACCAGCAGAAGTTTAAGAAGGTTTTTAAGTTTGAATTTCACCTCTTCTTCCCATAAAACAGATTCTTAAAACAAGTATCTGTCTCACATACCTTGGATACCCTGCATATATAATGGTGTATTGGTTCCGGAAAAAAAGTCCCTTGAAGTATAAAGTATTTGTAACTATTCTTAACCTTACCTCTTTTATCTCTTCGTAAGTTATTGTCATAATATTTTCTTTGTCAGCATATTTGTTCCATTCAGAAAGGTATTCAAAATAGCATCCCCAGGCCACTAAATAAAAAAAAACAATACTAAGATGAAGCATAAATAAATATTATACACATCTTACTCATTAAGTTGTGTCAGCCAAGGGCTTTATTAATCATGTCAATGGCAGAGTTTACACCCTTCTGTAAGATATATCGGTTTAGATCCAGACTCAGGCATATGATACCATTGGTAAGTCAGAAAAATAAAACTTGATAGTATTTCAAGATAGCTTCGAGTTCACCAAAAAAGCTATCATCTTGCAGACCATCTTGTAAGACTCCCTTCTTTAATACATTAAAATCAGCACTCACCTTGGCATTGTTTTTGAAGATAGATTGTGGAAGATTTTCAGGACGGAGATGAGTAACCATAAATCTTGGAGAAAGTAATTTGGTCATTCGCTTGAAGAATTGGAAGGAAAGTGGACAGTTCAGTTAGTACAAGTATTCTTTTCAGTAACCTATGCTAAAATGTGGCCTTGATGAAATTATCAACAGTTATTGGCTGATTGAAATGGTTTTTGGGTTTTTTAGTGAGTGTTGCCCTGGGATATTAGTGGACTGCTCTGAGTAGCTCTAATCTTCAAAAGCCCATGAGCAATTGGAAAAAGTCTATCCATTGTTAGTTCTCTTCAGTGATAGTTCTCTTCAGTTCTGTTATGTAAGCGATCAAATCTAGAGGCAGGGTACACACTAGCTATCTCTGAAAGCTGAAGCATCTCAAGGAATGAGAAAGGGGATGAGGAGGAAGAGCTAGAAAAAGAGATAAATGCTAATATTACATGATTTGACACTTCATTAAGCTCTTCTTAAATACAAAAGATGCTATGTTGAATTTCTGAAGTTCTTATGTATCTCATGGGTATGTCCTCCTTTCAGTCCCAATGCAGTGTTCAGTGATCACTCAGTATTTGACAGTCCAGATGAGATTACTCCTGACCAGATGCCACACAAAAAGAAATTGTAAAAGTTCTTATCAAACAATGGAATAGTTCATACATCATATATTCAGTATTTGAAGCACACAATGTTGATCATTTCCATACATATTCTGTTCCCACCTCATATTTTTCAGCATCTCCAGCTTCAAGGTAGGGGAATTCTTCTGGTTCTTCAGCATTCACACTGCTTTCACTACCTGGTGTTTTCTTTTGAGATATGGCTATCAGGTCAGTTAAGATTTGGCTTAGCCAGTTTGTGCCTGAAAGAAGAAAAATAGAGAAGTACTTGTAAAACTTTGAGAGTGGATGGAAATGGATTTACCTGGAAAGTCAAGAGTTGGTAGTGCTACCAGGTGAGTTACCTGGTCTCCTTTCATGTCATAAAATCACAGCTGACTGTCTGGTCAATCACCACCCAGGATGCTTCCTTTGCTCCTTATAAGAACATATTTCTCTAATTTGAACAGTTCAGTACACCATAAATTACCTTGTATGTTGTAAACTGACTAATCAGGCAGAAGAACCACTGAGATTCAAGTAGGAAAACCTGCATTAATGTAATAAATTTTATTGTGATACATATAAGGGAGACAGGGGTGGTAAACTTGTACTTTAAAACCTAATACATGAAGTGTTTTCTGGTGTGCTGGATTGTCTTTGGAAGAAAGATGGGTCACAGTACTTCAAGACAGGAGCAGAACTAGATCTGAAAATTGCTCATTCATTTTCTTTAACATTAGGAGAAACCTCTCTGAAGTGACATTTCCTAGACACACTTGTTATCTTTTTCTTCAAAAGACAACAGAGCGCCTGCATAGATCTCCCACCTATGATTTACCATTTCCTGACTTCTGGACATTGGGTGCCCACATCTTTCTCACTGCAATCTTAACAAGTGCATTCCAGTGCATAACATTTCTTCAAAAAGAGAATACAACAAAAAAGCAAAAGCTTCACAATTCTGTCAGCTGTGACTATCGACTGTAAGGCAGTGTGAACCAATTGCTGGAAGAGACAAACAGCAAGATTAAAGTGTACATGAGGCACACCTAATCCAAACCTTTGGCTTGCATGTAGACCAGTGCTGACCAGTGCTTTGAGGCAGATTGAGGAAAAAGGTAGAGTAAACTTGCAACTGGAGCAAGGATGTCCTCTTGATCTCCCAAAAATTAAAGAACAGTGTAATCACTTCAAGGACTACAAAAATATTTTTGATAGCTATTTCCTGACACATTTGTGAAATAAACTAAAGAATATTGAATACATCATTTGAAGGTACCAAAGGCTCCATTGTAAAAACATAAAGCTCTTAATTTTACAAACATACACATGGGAGCAGGTTGTGTAATATCAGGAGATCTAGTTACCTCTGAAAATGAACAAGATAAGCAGCCAAATGCAATTGCATTCTAGGTAATAATTAAATAATTTAATAATTAAATAATTTCTAAACCTCATGCCAAAAAGTCTGTGATAACAACATAGAGCTTATAAATAGAATATAAGAAAACAGAATGACATGAATTGCAGATTGGAATTTAAATGTCATGGTCAAAATCCTCAAGATGGGACAGTGCCAGCTGGCCCTTACATAGTGCACTGCTCTGCTCGTGCAGATCTATTCCCTGTAAATGGAACAACTTCAAAGAATGAAAGCTTCGAAACATGTGCTCCCAAGTGCTAAATAAGTAGAGGTATGTTTTTCTAATTATTTCTGTGATCTGCCTTTATCTCAGTAAAACTCTGGAGAAAGCTTTCATAAATTAGTCTTCTAAAATAACCCACTCAGTTTTTAAATAGTTCCATTAAGATTGATCCATTCAAGAAGGTGTCTTAAAACTCCTCTGATCATTCATCTGTGACAACAATGGAAGAAGGAAGTGGTGGAAGGAAGGAAGGAAGGAAGGAAGGAAGGAAGGAAGGAAAGAAAGAAGGAAAGAAGGAAAGAAAAGCCTGCACGGGTAGTGCAATGCCCTGGCCTTCTGTGATTGAGCCCATGAAAAGCATGGCTTACAGCAGAATTTGCTCTAAAATGGAAATGTCACATGTGTGGCATTTTCCCCTTTGAATAAGTTAGTGTGGATCTGATCACAGGCGAATCAAAGCCTTCAAACTGAGCCCAGGGTGGTAGGATGGCTTCGGTTATGTGGCAAAAGCTGTCTGCACACAAAGGAGCACAACAAAGCAATGAAGGAGGAATCAAAACAGTACCCTGCCCAGATACTCCAATGAAATCAGCTCATTCAAGGCCAGTCTCCACAAGCTCAGAGCAGCTCAGGTAGAGTGGAATGCAAGTTGAGGCCTCTTTCTAAAGGGACTGGACCCTGTCCAGGACCGTCTATGGCTGTTCCAGGAGAGGTTCAGACCCAGTGTCCTGGTGGGAAGATGGCCCATCAAAATGATCAGTGCAGGAGAACTTTTGAAGACTGGCAGGAGCTACTGTCTGGGGGTATAGGCACATAAAGAAATGCCGAGGAACAATCTTTCATGATTGCACGTGACTTATTATGTCAGGATTACATGACACGTATGAAGCAACTGCCACAAAACAAATTATGTACCAGCCTGCATGATACTGCTAATGTTGACTTTACAATATAGAAAGTACTGAAAGAAAAGTGAAAGATATCTAATCCTCAATACCAGATCAGGGTTGATTTTCTTGACTCCTCTAAAAGACACTTTAGGCAAGAGAACCAACCTGTTGTAAAATTTTCTAGGATCCTCTGTCATCTTTTCCTTTTCTCTAGAATAGTGGAGTCTTCGTCATGCTGGTCACCTTCCCTGACCAGATCAAATCTTGTCACAGCATCAGATTACTCCCACTGTAGATTGTCTACACATCGATACCTTGCTCTGCCTTCTACCCAGAATTTCCCTGCTTATCTCATCTGTCCCAGGATCTCCAAATTCTAGACGCTGAAATGTCTCTACCTTCTTTTTGGCATTTATTCTCTCTTTCCTTTCCTCTTCTGTATATTTGGCATCTGCCAACTCCTTCACCATTTGTTCAAGCCAATTGGTTCCTGAAAGGATAAAGACACCAGTAGGATATCCATTCCACTTCACTTTTTCATGTAAACCTGGCCGATGGTATGCTGTCAAATTGGTTTCAAGTGAACCAGTTTGGTTCAGTGTTGTACTTTAACCTTTCAACAAGTGTGTGCACTGGTATTCCCTGCAACGGTATTAATTTTCCCCATAGTAGCTAGTATGGAGCTCTGTGTCGAATTTGCGCTGAAAACAATGTTGGTAACACAGAGATGTTTTAGTTATTGCTAGGCAGTAATTTCACAGTGTCAGGACCTCAGAGCCATATCTTATCTTTGTCTGCAGCAGCCAATAGCAGGGAAAAAATATTTCTTTCAGAATCTTTAATCCTGGTCTCGAGGAAAATGATGCTTCTCAGTCACTGCGTGGACATTGTTCATGCTGAGTTCTGTCAGGTTCCTAAGGCTGCAGAGATGTCCTTCACTTCCAGGGAGGGCACAGGTATCCTTTAGACCAGCACACTGACCTCATAGCATCAGCTCCTGTTACGAGCCATTCTGCACTGGGGTAGGGTGTGCTTGTGAAAGAATAGCTGAAGGTTATCTGGGAAGTTTCTTCTGAGCTTCTATGAAAGCCCCAGAGGCCAACACCCTGAGAAGACCTCAGCAGACTTCCACAGTCTGAGCAAAGACACATCCTTCCCACAGAAAACCTCTACTTACCACACATAGGACACGGCAAATCACCTTGGGTTCCCAGCACTGCTCACATGAAAAGTCTCAGAAATCTGGGACCAGTGCTTCATTTTTCACTTAAGAGCAGATTTGAGTAGAGGGAAAAAGTAGCCAAGACCAAAGTCCAGGGCAGGAACATCTACCCATCACTCTTCCACATTCATGCCAGTCAGGTAAGTACCTGCCCAGTCTGTTCATTACCGTAGTGTCTTAATGCATAAAGCAAACACCGGTGGTTACAAAATATTCCCAACATTATCAAAAAAAGCTGTTACGTATAGGTGACTAAATGATACCACTCAGTGATGTAAACATCAATATTATGGCTAAGGGTCCACCTCCTGCTTCCAGAAACGAGCCTTGTAACAAGGCAGGTCTGGGGCACGTTAGAAATCCATGAAACAAAAGCAAAGCCACAGTAAACTGTAGCTTTACTGTGTAGTGACAAAACCAACAACAGAAGCAGCATCTACAAATCACACACACAAACACCATCTGTTTGATTTATGACAACCATTTTTATTAGGCTAAAAAAATAAACCAGGAGGCTCAAATTGGCCTGCTATGCGTGATACCTGAATAAGATTCAGATTTCTGCTGATGCAGACTTGCAAAGAAGCACATGGCCTGGCAGAGAATTTACAGAGCAACTCTTGCTTCTAGGTATCAATATTACCCAAAGCTATGAAGACAGAGGCTGACATTCTGCCTTTAAGAAAATAAGTATACTTTAAACAGATTGAGCTACTAATGTGTTATGGGCTTCTTTCTTTGTAGTATTTAATGCAGATTTAATTCAGATTTCAATTAAGTCAATACAAAATTTCAATTAATTTGAAGCATAACTGTGTGAAAGCTTAACTGTGGTAGAAATCTTTTTGCCAAAAAGTGACCTGAATTGAAGTTTTTAGAGAGGTCTCTAGGTGGAAAATACACTTCACTACTCTGAAAGGACTGATGAATTCATTAATAAAAGTGGAAATAGAATATTCCATTAGGAAGGCACAAAATGAAGCAGTGCTGTTAGATTCTTCTGTATGTGATTAATTATAATACTGTTCAATAAATTAACACCTTTTCAATATGCCAAAGGTCTTACATTTAGCATTAATATCTGATATACACTGTAGATACTATAAATGCAGCTGTAGTCCAAATATTACTACACTTATCAGGAACATTGACTTTCATCCTGTGTATCATGATTTTAGAGTTCAAGAAACAATTGCTTTAACAGCTCTGGTTTATCTCCCAGGTTTTACAACAGACATAATATTTTAACATGGAGTGCTTGCTACTAAGTGCCCTTTGTACACTTCCTCCACTTTCAAACTATGCTTTTCATCAAAAACATTCCTCCAGTCATTAACATCACTTACAAAGAATCCATATTGACACTGTAAGATTTAATGCAAAAAGGAAGCTTTATTCACATACTTTTATGTAGGATATAGTTAATAGGAAGGGAAAAGTCTACAACATACAGTAATACACTAGATTATTAGTAGTAATTACTATTATTATGATTGTTTTTGTTACTGTTGTTTCTATTATTGTTGCTGTAATGCCTGTTCTGATTATCAGCATTATTATGACAACTCCCTTTGTGCAGCAAGAAAACATATCTGCTTTAGAAAAGCTTGCTAGGATAGAATCATCTCTTACAGCTTCAGAGGACCTCATACCTTTGAATACTTCACAAGTGCAAGGCGTTGTGGCGTAGGCAGTCCCCTCGTAGGTAAAGACCAGGTCTGTCAGCAGCAGTCAGTGATTTTTCCAGTACACCAGCTAAAAGTTTTTCAGACTTTTCTGTTCCTTTCTCTTCCCTTTTGCTTTCCAAAATTCCCCATTGACTTTTAACAATCATGGGCAGCAGAGGAAGGCACAGGTTACCTATTTATTGGTTGTGTTTCTTAACTTGAAGGGCCCTTCTCAAGTAAGAGAAAGGGCTGCTCTTCACAGTCCTTCACAGAAAACAATCCTAAATAAGCTGCAACTGAGTCACTTAAAAAGTATCTCAATGACACCACTCCACTTAGAAACCCACCAACTCCAGAGGAAATATAAAGGAATCTGTTTTTAATGACAACTCAAAGGACAGCTAACATGTATCATATGTGTTTATGCATTTGGTGTTTATTCCAATTTCATCATTGTTAACATGGCCTCTGACATATGGTCATTGAATATGAGATAATTAAGGGAAATTAGGCTTCATACTTTGGCTGTAAGTGAATATGGTAACATGGCTGACTAACCTTGGAAGAATGTGGGTATTTTTCATACACACTGAGGGAGGAGATTCAGAATACCCATATGTGACAAACAATGTAAGACTCTCCGTTGATGGTCTTTTCAGTTTACTTCAGCAACACCAGAGCTTTGGCCTATGCAGATCAAGAAATAGAGGGTCCAGAAAAAGGGGCAAGGTAGCATGCTGACAGGGTCCTGAAAAGAGATTTGATGACTGATAGAATGGACACTCATTGCAGTGTCACTGAGGGTCAGATCTCTGGGACAGTGTAATAAAGGAAGCCGATTAACGGACTCTAAGTGCTCCTTGTGCTTTTTCAGACATCTGCCTTTTCCTAAAACGTATGATTAGCCTGAATAACTTGGGAGTTGGACCAGATGATCATTAAAGTCCCCTTCCAACCCAAACCATCCTACGAACTAGTCAGCATTTTATTGCCATTTTAGGCAAATAAAATATTCCCGGTTGTCATGTAAAGATGATCGCAGGTCCCATATACAAAAATGGGCAAGTGTATCAGCAGTTCTTTTTTCTCAGAGGTAAACTAAAATGTTTATATTCTGTAAGCAATGATCCCTATGTCAGTGTTTTAAATGGTGAACTAACAATCTGAGATGGTATTTTATCACTGGAAGCATTACATAAATGAAGATATGCCATGCTAGAAGTCATAGCTCTTGATACATTCTAAAAGTATGTAACCAGTTCAAGCAAAACCATACTGCAGGACATTGCCTTAAAGTTAAGAAGCTTTCAAAGGGCAAAAACAGCCTCATGGAAGATAAATTCTCAGAGGGCTGTGAAATATAAGAACATCCAGATTCAAGATGTCTTTAGGTGACAGGTAGGAGACTGGGAAACAATTTTGAGTAATTATCACTATATGCTAGATATTCTGTTGTCCACACTTGTACCTAAGACACATGGCTAAATGCTACTTTGGTCTGTTGTATGATGCATACTCTTTAAAGATTCCATTTTAACTTGGCCTCATGTCACAGGAGTCTAGCTAGAATAAATATTTATCCTGTAATGCATAAATAAAATAATTAATCTAAAATATTGCTTAAGCTTCAATATGTGCTCTATTATGCAATGTTTGATTAAAGTACACAGATAAGCTCATTCTCATGTTACAGGTCGTGAAAAGATCCGTTTTCAGGCTTTTATTTCACTGTTAACTTAGCTGAGTTATAATTAAAAATAGAGAGGTTTAAGCTGCTGTAGGTGGATGTACTTATAGGGCCTGTGTACTGTTTCATATTATTTTATGAAGAATGGATCATGTCAATTCTGTCAATCATTCCAAACCCTTTCAGGCTAAGAATTTAATTTGTTGCCAGAGGCTATATTTTTATGAGAATTTGAGTGAAAATGATCTGGCCACTTTCAAGTATGTGAAAAAAATTGTTGGAAAAATAGTTTCTTCCCTCATTTTATGGCCATTATGATTAGTACTTAATAAATTAAGTCATGACTGAAGCCTTGATTTAGTTAGAGCTTTAATAATCATGGTATAATTCATATGAGTTTTATCCAGTTTTATTTTGTTCTCCACTCTTTAAAGAGTAAAATATCATTAAAATTTTCCTCTACAGGAAATGCTATCATTATTTGCTATCTAAATTACATAAATTTAGCAGAATGGAAACAACAGCTACCATCAGCCTGCTGTTGCCTTACTTTCATAGGCAGCTGAGCTGAAGTCCATCATTCGGCTAAGGAGCAGAAATTTGACCTTGTTACTTGTCATTCAACACTGGGCCCTGCATAAAAGCCCAGATGACTAAAGGATATGGGACAAGTAAGGAGCAGAAGAGCTGAGTCCTGACTCCTGATAATGTTGGGCAGAGTTGTAATTCCATCAGAAGGAACATCTCCACTCACATACCTGGTTCTTAGCAACAAAAGGGAGACCTTTGTTCAACAGTTCAGCTGCTGAAATAGCCAGGTAGCAGCAACATGGGACTCAGCCTTTTTTAATGACAGATATTTGAGCCAATTCAATAGAGGAGATTTTAGCCACCTTTGCCCACTATGTATCACAGAAACACAACATGCCTGCAGTTGAAGAAGGCCCAGGAGATCATTTAGTCTAACTTCATTGTTAAAGCAGTTACCTTTGGTGACCTCAGCATGAGGCTGAGCAGGATTGTCCTCTTTCTTCCAATAATTAAATGAATGGCTGCCTTGCTTTTTTCTAATTTTCTGGTATCATCTAAATTGGAAGTGGGAAAAGGGAGTTTTCTGCAAATTTCCTTCATTTTTACTGCACCTTATTTCATCTCAATCCTTGTAATCCAGTTTATGTATTCACTCCAGTTCCAAATTTTTCTTTTTTTTTTTTTTTTTTCACTTTCATTTGATTTCCTCATACATCCTTCCTAATGTGTTTGTTTCACTGTGTTCACTGTTTTCAAGAATTTATTTCCTTTCATGTAATGGAATTCTTCATTTTAGGAAAGGAAATGGAATCTCGCAATTTCACTGAGTATCATTTCTTGAAGTTTTAGGTAATTTCACTGCACTTCATTTCATTCCATTCCCTTTCAAGAATTTAATTTGTCCTAAGAATTTTATTTCTTTTCAATTTAATTTCCTTGTATTTCCTTGCATGTAATTTCATTTCACTCCATTCGTTGATTTTTCATTGTATTTCTTTTAATGGAAAATTCTTCATTTCCATTAAAGGAAATGAAATCTTGACATTTCAATGACTATCATTTCATGAAGTTGTGGCTAATTTCAGTGTACCTAATTTCATTCCATTCAATTTCTTTTTATTTTGTTTTGCTTCATTTCTTAATTTTTCAATTTCATTTAATATCAGTGTATTTTGTATTTTAAGTCCACAATACTAATTTCAGTAGTGTGTGGGCCCACATTTATGAGTAGATAAGCTGGATAACTCTGTCATTCATGAAAATCTTCTCCCTGACTGCATTTAGTATTGCCCTGGCTTCAGTTTTGTCCCAAACCTTCCACTGCCACAGGCAGACTCATTCTTCCTTGTTTCCTAGCAGTCTATTATATGAAGACTCCCTGTTACCTACCCATCTTCTGCAGAAAGCATTTCCACAATCAATCTACTTCCATCAGTGCTCAAAATACAGATTTCTTTTGAAGTCCAAAAGGAACAATTAAGTATCTGGTCTGATCACTTGCACAAAATGTGAACTTTCCTTTGTTAAGACAACTCACTCTGAACTGAATTGCCAGCAGTGGTTGCCTTTTTCTTATTTTATTTCTCCAGTGTGCAGTTTTCAAGACCTCTTTCTGGACATCACTGCATTGGACTTGACTTACTCTCCTCCCTTATTCAGCAGTTCTGTACCAGTGCTTGAGAGGCAGCAATAGCTGATTCCTTAAGGATGGAGGTACTTGTAATTAAAATGCAAGTAATTCCGTCTACTTCCCATTTTTTAAGTATAGCAACTATTGGTTACAAGCAGACAAATTATTCATGTTTCCTTCTAAGTGTTTCAGAAAAACTAAGTGCAAAGCTGTATTTAAAACAAAACCATGCCATTCCAATGAAAACAAAGCAGTTACAACTGGAAGTAAAATCCTTTATTGAAAGAAATATGCTGAAGGCACTTCTGTATTTTTATTTGAACCTACATTGGGCAGATAAATTTATTCACACCTAATCATTAATTAATAATAAAATATCAGTGAGTATCTCACACAAACCACACAGAAATAAGTGTCTCAAGAACAGTAGTGACATCTGTTGTGGGTCAGGTTTCTCACACGAATTTCTTCCCATTGTCAGCAGAGAAGCTGTAAAGGGAGGAAGGAGTGGTTTCCAGGTGAATAGACCCAAAGGAAGGTGGCTAATAGCTCTGGTCACACTATAAGCATCTTTAGTTAAGGTGCGCCAAGTTAGCAGTCCTCAGGACGTGCTTGGCAGCTGGTCTCATCTTCACACAATGCTCATTCTTCCTTGATGTATCTATTCGAGGCCAGTACATGGTCTATCTTGTTCTGAGGACAGTACATGGTCTTCCAAGTATCTCTGTAATCTGCAGGCCAGGGTTGTCCAATTCCCGTAGGAGAATATCACGGCCTTGTTCAGCTAAGAATCCTTTTATATTTCCCCCGTTTTCTTTTTGGACAATCCAGGCTCACTTGACAATTGATTCTAAACTCTTTTGCATACAAGAAAGAGTGCAACAAAGGATAACAAGCACAGCACAAATGATAGCAAAAAGCATATTCCCCCTATCACTAAAGTTTTCAGCCAGCCAGTGATTCCTAATTCCTTAAGCCATTTATCAATAGGATTTGTAATGACATTGAGCTTTTTCATATTATCTTGTAGCTGAGAAAGTTTTTTGTGAATAGATTCAGAATGGTCAGAAATATTCATACAGCACCTTCCTTCAAAATCTTCACAGCCATGTCCTTGTGCCAGCAACAAAAAGTCAATGGCTGCTTGATTTTGTAACACAGCATGTTGTACACTATCAGCATCAGTGGTGAGTTCATCTAACACTCTGAAAGTAATGTTTATTTGTTTCCCTGTCCAACAGGCCAGTCGTTTTAACTGAGGGCTTTAGCAGAAGCAACTTGTGGTGTAAAAGTGAGGCTAAAATAACAACTGAACATTATCTTTACATTCACGTCCCAATTGGTCTACACTGCATCCAATGCTTCCAAATTTGTGACTTATTTTGAGCATCTAATGGATAGTAGGGGCAAACAATGTTAGCTTACCAAAGTGGCAGGGTTCTCCTTGTGCTTTTGCAGGTATGGCAGGCCAAGTACAATCTCCACAAATGAGGAATACTCCTGGAGGCAACATTTTTGCTTTCTCTGCTGCCTTACCATATCATGGAATAGGCCAAGTCCAATTGTTGCATTAACTGGTGGTGTTATAGTACCAGGAAGACTCAGGGGCAATCCAAGTAGTGTCATTCTTTGGTTTATGAATTTTCAAATTACTTGAGTCAATGTCTTGTAAAATCCTAAAACTAAACAGCAATTTCTTTGCATGGATCTTAAGATGTTGAGCTCTTGGGGTTCTACACTAGTAACATTCAGACCTTGAACAATTTTGAACGCTTGAGCTCTCAAAGGATTTTTAGAAATTCCAAATGATTTGCACCAATTGCTTTGTATACTTATACTTTTGTTGTTGCAAAAGTCAGTCATTGCCTGTTCTGGGTTGGAATGCATTTACTCATAGTCCAAGGCATAAGTTCTGTCATATTGCTTGAAGGCACCCCAATCAGGCAGGTACGAAATGGGTTAGAGGGGGTAGCTAATGATAAGCAACATTAATCTTGTCCTGTCCTGTTGGCCCAAGTGACCCACATGTTCATTTGTGGTTGGATAGGAGCTCACACTGCCTTTTGTAAAGGCACGCTGAAACTTCCTATTAACACTATTATCAAAAGCAATTTCATTGTCTCATAATTCTTGTTCTTAACTGACAAGAGAAACACCACAGGCCAAGAGCCTGTATTTTTTTTTAAGCTAAAACAATAGTTAAGGCTTTGGTTAAGGCTCACCAAAGGACAGTTTTTCCTCTGCTGTCAATAATTTCTGGTATCCATATTTCTGGAAAGTCTTGATCTGGCTTAAGGTTTAGAATTCCCCTGCAAGCATTTTCAAATGTAAAATTAGTAAAATTATCTTGGCAATTGAAACATAAGGCATATTCAGTGAACAAGCGCCTATAATGTATAATAAAATTCCGCTTACAGTTACCACAACTTAATACTACTGTTGCTGGTTCCTTACAGTTTGCACAAAGAGAATTCTTGGTTTTGCGAAGTCTTTTTAACACAACATTACAAGCTCACGGCCCAAATGTTTGTCCTAATGTTATTGCTCATACAATATCTTCTATGGCAGATGGAATTGGTCCAAGTTCTTCTCACAAAGTGAGAGTATGTATCAATTGTCAGATGTACATATTTAGATTTTCCAAATTCAGGTACACGTGTAACATCCATTTGCCATATCTGAAGTGCTTTTAGTCCTTTTGGGTTAGTGCCAAACCCTACACCAGGCCCATGATCACTGCATTGAGGACAGGAGCGAACAATGCCTTTTGCATCTGCTGTGGGTATGTGGTACTGTCGATGTAATGATTTTGCATTTTGGTGGAATATCTCATGACTGTTTCAGGCTTCTTCAAATTTATTTGCTGGAGGTGTTATTGCCAAGCAACTGACTGCCTCATCAGTTTGAGCATTGCCTTCACCTAGACCAATGTTCCACTGATGAATTCTAATATGCACTATACAAAATTCATGTTTTCTTTGCTAAAGGGTACTGTGCAGTTGTATAAACAGTTCTCCAAGATGTTGATTTTTTGTTTCCCTTAGTTCCCACTGCCCAGCAAACTGCTTTTAATTCTATGGTTTGGAGGCTGTCCCTTGGTTCCCTGTTGATTACATGTTTCTGCCACTGATTGTCAGAGTGCCATACACACACAGCTTTCTTCAGTTTTCATCCTGCATTTGTAAACACTGTTGGCCCCTCAACTGGTTTTTCTGAGTATAGCAGCCTTTTGACCCATTGGTAGAGTTCCAGCATCTTCCAAAGAGGGCCTTTTGGTCGGTTGTTGTGTATAGCTCCTGTATAACCTATCAAAGCTTCTTGTAGTTCCGTTGAATGCCTCAGGAGCCATTCATAATCTTCTCCACAAACTGAAACACTAATGTCTGGAGGTTCAGCTCCATCAGTTTCGATGATTCTGTCCCTCTCTTTCTTTATCAAGGCTGCCAATGCTCCTGAACAACTTAAAATGCAATGATTTGGTTGAATTGGTAGGAATTCCCATTCAATGATAATTGCCGAATCCTCTCCCTTTTTCTTTTGCCATTGTAGAATAGTGGCAAGAGGAAAAGTTGTGGAATTGTAGATTAGTAGAGATAGTGGTTGATTTGTTAGTTGACGGCTACTCCAGCTTGTTTGAATTTTGTGAGTTATTACATCTTAGGGCAGTTTGTTGCTCTGATGAACAGGTTCGGGGACTGTTTGCTTCAGTGCCATACAGCCAAGATCGGAAGGGTTGTAGATTATCATTGGTGATGCCAATAATATTATGAATCCATTGCAGATCTCCTAGTAGTTTCTGAGCATCATGTAGATTAGCTATCTGTGCAGTAATTGTTACTTTTTGAGGCCTGATTTGAGCATCTGAGATGAGCCAACCTAAATATTTCCATGGTGCAGAACGTTGAATTTTCTTTTTCTTTTTCTTTTTCTTTTTTTTTTTTTTCAGGGGCTACAGCTAAATCACAAGAGTGTAGACGATAAATGAGCTATTGTAGTTGAATATCAGATATTGCAGTTTGATGTCTTCTTATGGATGATGAATACTGGTGAATACTAGGGACTATTTGTGCGGGTGATGTAACCTTGCTGTAATTGTTTCTTTACCAATCTTTTAAGGATATTTAATTTTTTCTCTGTTAAAGGCCATTGATCAGTTTATATAGGGTGATCAGTTTTCTAGTTCAGCTTTAAAGTGGCAGGTTTTGACATAGTTTCTATTACAGGATCACTTCTAGTTTAGCTCTTCATTGAGAGAGGACATCTCTCTTCTAGACGGTGAGAAGCTTCCGAACAACAAAAGGACGCACTGTGGCTGTCTTCCTTTCAGGATCTCTGTCTTAGAGTGTGTTTTGTTTTTCTTTTTTCATCACTCTTGTGTTACAAAAGAACAGGTAGTGTTGTCATAGTCATCAGCTGTTTCAGGAACCCTGCCAAGAAGCTCCAAGTTCTTGGCAGAAGTGTTGCTGCAGCAACAAACTTTCTTGGGAGTTCTGCTAGGGAAGACTGGGGAGGAGAGTTCAAAGTTCTTGGCAGTAGTGTCGCTTGAGTAACATGCCTCTCTGGGACCCCTGCCAGGAAGGGCAGAAGAGGAAAACTCCATATCTTAGACAGGCTTCAAGGTCTCTGAGTGATCTGTCTGTGTCTCTACAGAAACTTTCTTGAGCTCTCTTGCATCTCTCTGGGAAAAGCCTTCCTGGCCCAGCTCGGCCCCTGGCTGCCACCCTTCACTTCTGTCCTCCCCTCTGCCCTCTCTTCTGCAGGCAAAGTCAAATTCAAAGCCTCCCTACTACTTGTACCTGGAAGTTGGGGAACTAAAAGCAGTGAAAACCCTGGAAGAGGCTTGGGGGAGGAATCTATACAAAAAGAATTCCCAGAACTACAAGGCAATCTGCCTGCCTGAGCCTGATCCGAGGGGGTGATTTCTTGGGAAGGGGAAACAGGGGCAGGGATGACTTTCACAGCTCCTTGGCTAGGCAGAGCAGATCCAGAATCTCCTACGGCAGTCCCCACCTGCATTACTTCAGAACAAGATCCGGCTGCAAGTTGTTTAGAAGAGGAGCAGGGCACAGAATCAGCAGCCCTTGTTTTGACAAAGCTTCCCCAACTCTTATCTTTCAAACCCGCTCGACTCCCAGTCTTCCCAGAACATGACTCTTGACTTGCCAAATTCTTGGAACACAATGAAAATCCCAAAAGCTTTCCTGGGAAATCCAGGGTAGATGATTTTGCAGAGGAATGGGAGGACGCTCAGTTCCAACATCAGTGACACAGGGAATCTTGGAAGAAACAGAGGACATGACAGAAACTGGAAGCTGATCTGATTCTCTTTTCTTGGGGGTTGGGGTGCTGTTCACACTGCCTGGAGAAACTCCGTACACACCAGAAGGGAAGGAACTCCAAACAAAACTCAAGATTTCCCCAGAAGAGGATGAAGGCTCAGCACCATTTGGAATTAAAATCTCAGAACTAGGTGTTCTATCTTGGTATGTAAGAAAGTCTCCATTACGATCATTCTGTTTAAAACTTTTCCATTAAAGCTCTGTAGACAGGCATTAGTTTGACTAAAGTCTTTTCCTTTTTGAGAGAGACTAGATTATAAATTTTCTGGCTTATCTGGTCGTAAAAACTAAAGGTAAAAGCAGACTTTAAGGCTATATTTTGAGTATTCGCTTCTACTTAGATTAATGAGTCTTTCAGTTCATATTTTGAGATGTCTGAGCAATCTGATGCATCTGTGTGGGACACCGCAGTTGAACTTGCGTGGTAGAATAAAGTCCATGTCTGCTTGCAATCCATACAGTGGGTCTCCTACAATTTGATGTCTGTTTGCTTCTTGTACTGCTAAATCTTTTCCATTCCCTTTCAAACATTAAGTATTGAAATGGAGTAAGGATTAATGACACAGCTCCTGAACAATCAGCAGGGCAAAGAACATCTGCTGTAAAAATAAATTGAATGATTTGACGATCAGTTTCTGATCAGAGACCATGAGTGATAACTGTTTGTTTTGCTTGTTGCAGTAATTTCCAATCATGTGGTTCCCAATTTGCCTGATTATTGGTAATCAATACAGGACAAGCGAGACAACTTGCTGCCTGCCATTCTCCTTCTAAGATAGCATCACGAATGACTCCTGACCAGCATTGCTCTATCGGATCTTTCTCCAGCTTGGAAGCAAGCCACCCAGGCATTGGTGGAGCAGTAGGAGTGACAGGCATTGGAGTGGAAGGGATTGTGGGTATAGCCTCTGATCTTTTTATGTTTTCTGTTTGTTTTTCTAACTGCTCTTGCCGCATGGATAATTCTGCTACTTTCTTTATCAATTCTTGAAGTGGATCATTAAGTTCAGGGTATTTTGACTTATGAGTTTGATTTTCTGCTTTTTATTCCTCAGATTCATCTGACGATGTTTTGGGCAAGGGAGAGTGCAAAGGGGAACGAGAGCGAGAACAATACTCTCTTTTCTTTTTCTCTGTTCTGCTAGCTGTAACTGTCTTTTTTGGCCTTGCTCCACTAACTGTTTTGAGTGATTTATTGTTCTGCTCTTCTCTCGCTCGAGGGAGATCGAATTCTTCTTGTTTTTGGTCGGATGTAATATTTTCTTGCAGGGATACTGACATTGTAACAATTTCTTGTGGGGAAATTTCTTCTTTTTGTGGCACGCTATCTAGTACTTCTTGCAAAGTAGAGCAAACAGGAGCTGTAGTTCCTTTCATAGATCGAGTATTTCTGACCCCAAAGAAAGTAGCAAGACGTGATAGTTTAGGAGATGTTGGATCTTTTGTTTCTTGTTTTTTACTGAAGTCCCCTCCCAAAGCTTCAATGGCTGCAGCAGCCACCTTTTTTCTTTTTTCAGCTTTCATAGATTCTAAAATATGAATAACAGTTTTCCAGATGGCTTCTAATCTTTTGCTTCTTTCCCATCTTTCTCTCCTTCGATTGTTCTGTCCCAAAGATAATTCCCCACTTCCTTCCACTCAGTTATACTGAGGAGGGAAGGTTCAGATAACTTTTGGTTTTTATATGCCCACTTTAAGAGGGCTTCTATGTCTGTTTCTTTTATGTCCTTGCCTCTCTTAAAGAGGATACTTGTTAGCAATCTATTTGCCACATCTAATTCCATCGCAGTCTTACCTTGGCAGGGGCTTGACAGCCGTTCAAGCTCCGGATTCTGGCTGCGTTTGCCCACCAGGCCACTCCTGCCTCCCGACTCTCCAGCTCCCAAATCAGATTCTTGCTCGAGAAATCAGAAGCTGAATCGGATTCTTGTTTGAGACATCGGAACCTGATGATCGGAGTCTTCTGCATTTAAGCGAACCACATTTAAGCGAACTGCATTTAAGCGAACTGCATTTAAGCAAAGAGAGTCCCTGTTCCACAGGCGCCAAAAGTGAAGAGGGTCTCAATCGGAGAGCCGGCCGAGTAATGACACTCACACCAATGTGGCTACATGCTGTTCTCCCTTTATTCAGCAACTGTGGCATATTTATCTTTCTCTATACACTGTCTCACACCACTAATGCTTACAGCTCATTGGTTGAGTAGCTATATTCACACATACATGTTAATTACTGAGTGGTTGTCACACTATAAGCATCTTTAGTTAAGGTGCGCCAAGTTAGCAGTCCTCAGGACGTGCTTGGCAGCTGGTCTCAGCACAATGCTCATTCTTCCTTGATGTATCTATTCGAGGCCAGTACATGGTCTATCTTGTTCTGAGGACAGTACATGGTCTTCCAAGTATCTCTGTAATCTGCAGGCCAGGGTTGTCCAATTCCCATAGGAGAATATCATGGCCTTGTTAGCTAAGAATCCATCTACAAGTGCTCACGTGTGTTACGGAGGGCATGTGCCTGCTCCCAGCACGTTTCCACGCTCCAGCTGCCGGCCCAGCTCTGCCCGCTGCCACCACTTCTGCCCGCTGCGGCCGAGCGGGATACTGCCATGTCGTGACTTGCTGCCAGTGGTGGTACCAAGAACAGCTGCTACCTGTGAGTGTCACAAAAAGCAGAAATCTCCTGTCCTCACCTTTGGCCAAGCCTCCAGGGCGGCCTGAGGAGGTGCAGGCTTGCATCGGAGAGCCCCTGCAGCTGCGGGGGAATCAGCGCAGCCCCTCTGCCTCGCTTGGGCCGCCACCACCTCCTGCTGGCTTTGGGCGTGGCTGCACCGAAGGGGTGACTGCTGAACAGGTGGGGAATTTCTATTATTTTTTTGGTGGTGGTTCTGTCCTGTTGTATATATATTAATTTTTTTTTTTTTTTTTTTTTTTTCCAGTAAAGAACTGTTATTACTTCTCCCATATTTTTTCCTGGAAGCTGCATAGGTTTGAAGTTATAATAATTTGGAGGGAAGGGTCACTTACCAGGAAGGTTCCCACCTTCCTTGGCAGACATCTGTCTTTTAAACCAAGACAACATCTCAGCGTCTTCCATTCACAGTCCACAGCAATGTTACCTGACCTGTCCATCACCTGTCCCAGCTCCCCCTGCCCAATAAACTGATACGAACGAAAGACAAACAGGGCCAGCAGCCAGAGAAAAAACTTCCCTGGCACATGACAGAGAACTCAGTCCAAGTCTGTTTTGGGCACATTAATTTTTTCTTGCTTATTTTCTAATTTGTGCCACCTTAATTATGTATTAAAGAAAAGATATTATCCAAACTCACATACACAATTTCAATGAACTTACTTATTAGTATTCACTGATTAGTAGATCAAATTTTTTTTTTAATTTTCATTTCTTATTCCACTCCTTTCCATTCAATGGCATTTCAAATACTTCCTGATCACTTCATAGTACTTTCACTTGAGGCTGAGAAAAATCATTCACCAGATTTAGCATATTCTGCTAATAACTCATCACCATTCTTGACTTCAAAAGTTTAAACAGCTTTAAAAGCTTCTGGTTGCTTATCACAACAGGGGACAAAACTCCCTAGAAAAATAATATCAAATTCTCTGGGGACAGATTAGCAGGGGCAGTTATGACCTTGTCTACATGTCAATGAACTTCTGGTTGGACATTTTTATGTAAACCTGTGCAAGATGTGATATAAAGGGGCACCTAGGTTATTCGTTTCTCAGCAATTAAGTAAAAGGTACATGTTTATTTAAGATAACATTAATAAATTGTGGATTGTTTTGATGAGTTGCAACAAATTAATGTGTTTTTGACCCCTTTATCAGGAGTGCTGGCAAAAACACATCTCCTATCCTTGTTTGTGGCCATGCAAGCAGCTGTCAGCAAATGCTGTGCAAGACATCGATCTCTCTTAATGGAGCAGGGTGCATACAGTATACAGGGAGCAGCTGATCAGCTGTATAAGCAGGAAAATAAAAAATTTATCACCTCAGATATGATCCTGCCGTAATGATTTTGGCTACAGTCTTGTCTCTGCACAGCACCACACTATCAGGTGGTTGCAGTAGCTTGGGTTAGAACTAGTTGGTTGCTAGACAGCAGGGCTGTCCAACAGCCATAAATTCTGGAAGCTTTAGTTTTCCTCCAGGTGGCCAGAAAGAAAACACCTTCATTTTACCAGCAGTTGTTGAAACAAAAAAATTATTATAAAATGTTTCCACTGGAAAATTTGTTTCAACAAATAATAAAATTTGTTTCAACAAACAATCTGATTGCTTCTGACAGTCACCAGCTCTTCAGCGTGCTGGGCAGATACCTTCTTCTTCAAGCCCCTCTCCTTCCCATGTCTGTCTGCACCTTTTACTATTTCTCCCCTGTCATTTAACCCTGGGTATTCACTATCCTTATCTATTTCCTGTCATTTTCTCACTCCCAGCTAGTTCCTGATGCACAGACACAGTCTTTACAATATCTGTCTCTCTTTGGTTGTCTCTTTTAAAGATGCCACCACCTTAAGATGCACCCACTGTTCAGCATGCAAGCAACATCCCTAGCACATCTAGTCACTTTTCCATAACTGCTATTAACTGCCAAGATCACACCTTCCTCTGTAAGGAACCTGTCTTTACAAGTCTTTGCAGCCATACTCACATCTGATCCTTACCTTGGCTCAATTTTGAACACTCCAAAATCTCTGCAGATGCCTTTTCTGGAAGCACTTCCATTTATCCCTGAGCAGTGCCTACTCTTAGCTTTCCAGAATAGGCAACTTACCAAAGTTTTTTCTCTCCACCTTGTCCAACCAAGCTGGCCTCCTGATTTCCTTCCTGGCTTTGTTCCTGATTTCCACCAGTCACCATGACCGTATCTTCCCTCTCCATTCTTCCTTCTTGCACTCCAGAAAAGCCCTTGACATAGTGCAGCTGCTTCCCTGCAGCTCACTGGAAGTCTCCTCTCTCAGAGCAGTAACATAAGCAGCTGTTGCCAACTCCTCAGAGTAGAGGATGATAAATTATTTCAGAGTATGAAGAAGTGCTAGGATCAATTTGTGGAGAGTGTTTTGATCCAGAGCAGAAAACTTTTCATTCCCTTCATTTGAGCTATTTTCCAGCCACACAATTGTGAGAGATCATTTGGGGAGTCTGGTGAGTCCTTCAGACTAACTTATGTGTAAGGCTGTGAGATGGCAGCAACTGTGTGGAGAGCTATAAATATGCCAAAAATAAGTGGCAAACTCACCAGCTCCATGTACTTGAGACAATGAGTAGACCCTGTGTGACTTCTGCACAATCTAGAGACAGGGGCTGGAGCAGGGCTGGAGTGCTGTCCCATGTCCCAAAAAAGGAGGGGAATACCACATTGTTCTGAAAGTTGTCAGAGGTGGCTTTGTCAGGAAGTGCTTGGTCATCATTACTTCTCATAGGGATTCACTTGCTCCACCAAAACACACCTATTTTTTTTTAGGTGAAGTTTCTCAGCTCCAGAATTAAAATTTTAATGGGGAGAGACAGAAACATACTAGCCCACCCCAAACAGAACTAGGCCATCCAAGGTGCAGAGGAGAATATGGATTATACGTAGAGAAAATATAGAATAAGGATTTAGGGGAGATCAGAAAGAAAGGAATTAAATACGCCTTTCCTATAACTTGGGTGTGGGGAAGCTCTACATAGCAACGTATTAATTATCTTGGAAAGCTCTCAAGATTTTGTTTCCTCTCAAGGCAAATGGGGAAAATTCAAACCTGAAGGATACAACAGCTAAAAAAAAAAAACCACAGTGGGAAAAGCTACCAAGGTGTAGGTGGGGTTATAATGTTTGTTTTGTTTGTAAAACACTGTAATCAAAGAATTTTAATAGATAGCATTTGCAGACAATTCACTTTAAAGCTGCTATAAGTGGCACCCATATAGACTGCATTTCTTTAATTTCCTTTCACACATTAGGAACCTTTTCTTCTTGGCATGTCACCCTAAAATCTGGAATTTGATCCCTAACCCAGACCTGAAAACATAGGAGGTTATCTGATGTCTTTGCGCCATCTACAGATCTTATCAGTCAACTTGCATCTTTTGGGTTTTTTTATTGTACAGAGCACCAACTAAATGTTTTCATAGAAAGATTGTTTATAATTGTATTGTCTTGTTCCTAAGAAGTAATAGTGGCTCAGAGTCCCAACTCACTCTTCCTTTTTTCTCCCTACTATTATTACAGTCAGACTGACCTCCAACATCTTATTCAGAATTTCTCTAAATTATTCCCAACCCTTTAACAAGTCACCTCCAATACTTAATTACCCCAGCTTTAAAAAAGTGTATCTTGTTTATGATGACTTTTATCCCCAAATGCACGTTTTTTATCTCTGAGATGGAGAGGGCTCTTTTAAGAAGCCAGCACAATGGCAAGATAACATTCTTTGTCTTTCCACAAAGAGAGCCTAAAGAGTAGTTTGTGAATTCCCAGGCTACTTCCTGGATGTGAAACTATATATAATTAAATACCTTCTTCAGAGATGAAGAAAGGGCTAAGTTCTAAAAATTTCACCTCCAGCAGCTGGATACCAAACTCTTTATGAGAGAAAGGCTCCTTGCCTGAAGGCTGGAGATGTTCAGCTGAAAGTTTCTTTGAAGAGCAATCAATAAGCAGTAAAAGGAAGCTTGAGGGTACCCAAAACATCACTTTTCCAGATATTGCAATTTAATAACTATCTAAGATACTGGATATTAGATTAAGGTGACATGGTCACAACAGTAACTCATTTATCTTTTAAAATTACAGCATATTCATACTTTCATTAAGATAAGGAAATGCTTTCTTAGTCTGAGTTACACACTTGATACTTCAAAAAAAAAAAAAACAACAAAAAACTAGCTTATATTCAGCTTGCTGCTTCTGGGGGAATTTAAAAAAAAAAAGAAAAAAAAAAAAGAAAAAAAAAGGGGAATGCTATTACTGGGCTTTCATGTAAAAATCAGCCATTAGCACCGCTATAGGGGGAAGAGCAAAAGTGCAGCTAGAGAAATAAATTTCTGACAGTAACTAATACTGGATGGCAAAGGAAATAATTTATGTAACAGCACAGTCAGAGATTATTCCTTTCTCCCATTCTTTAACAATCAGCAGCTGTGAGGTCTTGAGGTCTTGAGCTGATGGATGTACTCCAACTACATTTAACAGTCACCAGTGGACCAATCCTTCATGGTTTTTCCAGATCTTCTTTTGTCTACCTATGTGAACTTTAGTGTCCACAGAATCCTGTAGCAATAAGTTCCACAACTGAGTTCAGTGTTGTGCAAAAAGGATTTTTCTTGTACTGTTTTTCCCCTACCATAAGTACCAAAATATTTCCCCCTATAATCATAATGATAATATATATCACCCTATAAAGACTTCTAGGCAAAAAAGTCACTAGAAACTGTATTTCCTAGTGTGACACCTGCAAAGAAAATAATCCTTTGGGAAAAAATATGCCTTTTGGAAACCTCCTTTAAAGAGAAAAATTAATTACTTTTTTCTTTATACTCATGTATTTGCAAGTCCAAAGGATTGCAGGAGGAAAGCTACTTTCTCCCTGAGTTCATCATACACTGTTCAGCCTTAAAGTCTGAACCAATAGTCATTCATATGTCTTAAGTGCAAGTAAGCATTGTTTTGCTTTGTGAATTCATACTAGGGATGAAAAACCTACTTAAAAACTGTGTGTGTGCTAATGCTGACACTCTTTAAGTGTACTATGCACAACCTACTTACTGCATTTTTTACACCAACACACAAACAAGTACATAGACAAAATGCAGTTCAATTTTTCCTTTTATTTCAGCAATTCTGAAACTAATTTAAATGGAATATCATTCAATGTCCATACTGCAAATAAAGCAACATCCATTTAAGGAAAACAGGGAAACAGCTGTTTTCCTAAAAAGTTGTATTCAATAATATCAAAGATTTTCTTGATACTGTTTTCTATTATTTGGGATGACATATTTTATATGTTGGCCTCTTACACTTGAACACAACACATAAAGTTTTTTTTTGCAACATTAATTAATGGTGCCTTTGCTGATACGTAAAAGGGACTGGACAGATTTCTGATCTAAAATTTGCAGAGTTCAAAAAAATATGTGTCACAACACACAAGTGGTTGAAAATATTTTATGGAACATATTTTATTAGAATATGGTATTTGTTGCAAAACAATTTCATTGACTCTTGTAGTTTTTTAATAGAGGGAGATGTATATGAAAGTGATGCATCACATCAAACTCAAAATAGAGACTTTGGGATTGATTCCTTTCTGGAACGTTGTTCTGATTTCTTCCTTTAATACTGTTTAGACTTACTGATAGTTCATTAACCTAATATTGTATGTGAAATATTTTACATTTTAAGAAGCAGCTTAACACTACCTTTAGACTTTTCCTTTAGACTATTTCCCAGCTTCATTCAGGTAATATGCATCATACTATGGCTACAAATAGTATTTAGTTTAATACACCATATATGGGTTTTCACCCCTGACAGAATTTATCCAGCCCTGTCAAATAACAAGTGTTTGGCAATCCCAGATTTTTCTCCACTTAGCTCTCCCCAGACGTGATGCAGTCTGGTGCCATGCCATTAGATGTCACTATGGACCTCACAAAAGAAGACCAAAGCATGAACTAGCATCTTCCTGTCTGCAAACAGTAACCCGTTTCAAAGCAGGTATTAATCTTCAGCGACAGCAACACACCCGTGTGCCCTCTCCCATATGTACACCTTGGCCTCCACCACCATGCTCCTCTGCAGCTGCTGTTCTAACACAACAGCACACAGTGGAACGCAAGTTCATCATACATTAAAAACATGCTCCTGTCCTCCTTTCATTTCATGAAGGAACAATTTTCAGAGTCCATAGCACCATGAAAAACACAGCTGTGGGGTGCCTCCCAGAGGGCCAAAAGGCCATCCTGAGCATGGTGTCTGAGTTTAGAGCAAGTCACCAAATGAGATGTATGGTGGATTGGATCTGAAGCCAAGTGACTAATATTCTATTGCTGCACTGGATTTTTATGGCCTCTACTTCCTTTAGTCTTTTTCATTGGTTGGTTGGTTGGTTGGTTTGCAGTTTTTTTTTTCCTGACTGAGTTGTTGTCAGGAGTTTCTAGCAACAACTATGTCAGGAAATTCTTCAATTTCTCTGCAGGAGTGAAGCATTGCATCAGTTTGTTGCAACTACCCCAGGGGAAGCTGGGAGTGACGTTGATCTCTGGGGAAGCAGTAGTAGTGGCAAGGTGAGGTGTTTCCACAGCTGTGGGGTTGGAGGTGGATTCTGCTCATGCTGAAATTCTGGGAGGGAAAAAACCCACTTATTGACTTCTTGTGGCAGCAGGATCACAGTCTAACTGCAGTTATGCTCTTTGTTACATTCTCAACCTTCCAGGCTTGGACATCATGGATGGACATTTTGCAGGAACTGCAGGGAGTAGAGCTGCCATGTCATAACAGGAAACATTTTTAAGATCCCCAGTTTTCCTGCTGACATGACTGTACTGCACACACTAGCTATGGAGTTTTGGAAGCATCCTGGAATTTCAGCCAAAGGGAAAGTACTGCTGGGGTAAGACTTTTGCCCATTGCCACATAGTTCCACTACATCTAAGCAGCTCAGAAACCGCCAAAGGTGGGGCATCTTTGAAGTACCTTGTAATCTAATCAGATTTATGTCTTTTTAGGCAGAGCACCTCATATGTCACAGCAAGACAGTGTTGGATTAATTTAAAAGGAAATTAAAGAAAGGATTATAAAACCGTAGAGGTTATTAAAGATTCTTCTTTCTGATGGCAAAGGCATTATTCCCTCTTAGAAACCACACTGCATA